GAGTTTTTAGGACGATGCCAGTCGGCAGTACCCTATCCCTACACTGTGTTTCCTTTATCTACATGTCGCCGATAGGTACCAGCTACAAAAATTTGTCCGTAATACGTCGTACTTGTTTTGTGGCAGTATTTTGCACATTTTTTCTCAAAAATCTACAAATGCACAGAACGCTAACTTCGCTGTTTATTTACTGTTTTAATAACTATAACGTACAAACACAAGCAACCCCTTTTTCTATTGTTTTTTTTTTTTTTTTTTTTCTTTTTTTTTTTTTCTCTTATGCTGAAGCTAGTCGCCTATCGGTACATGATACGGATTACAGGCTTTGAGATTTTGAAAAGTACAGGAGGACTACTAATTGACTTCCCTTAGCGACACCATAGGGGGGGTCTTTTCACGCTCATAAATTCACACCCTCAAGAGGCATTGTTGGGGAATTGGGAAAAGAAGCCTCACTAATGAAAGTGTCAATTGACTGCTAGCTCACCACAAAACAAGGACACAAATGAGGTGAGTGAGGAAGAAGTCAGTTTAATTGAGCACATCGACGTACATTATAGAAACGAAGAGCTATATATATGGGGAACTCCCCATTATATGACTCTTGATAATTATATGTGTAATTTTTTATGTGAAATAATAAAATACATATCTATATATAAATTATAAATTATTTATAAACCACAAATGGAATCACAATTTGTGACGGTACGATGGCGGCTACACCCGCTTTGATGTTATTTAGCATTAATCATTATTATCATAATAATTAACATATAATAATAATAGTATAAATCTTAATATGTCATACGCAGGAATTTTTGCATTAAAAGTTATTGTCAATGAAGATCTTGTAAACGAACCAGACGAAGGTGTGACCACCACAGACTGTTTTTGTTATTCCTGGTGGTTATTAATAATATGCTATGTAATGCAAAACCCGACCTAATGTGCCATTGGTTTTTTAAATATCAAACCCGGCTAGCCATTATATATTCACATTACCAAAACATGAGCAAAGATCTTGTGAACCCTGACTGATCTAATGGCAATTCCCATTTTTGCCAAAATAGCCGTGGGCTCCGAAAGATACGTCGACTGGCGTGGCTCCAAATAGGGACAAGATGTTAATATGGGGAGCATAGCGTAAACAACTATTACCCAATGTTCAAACATGTGGGTCAAACGGTTCCTGAGTTAGGCCGATTGACCATAGCCAAAGTCGTGGACGGAGGACGACGTGCGACGACGGACGACCCATGGCAATAGCTCAGTTGACGATGTAAGGTGAGCTAAAAATCACACCCTTAAGAGGCCATGATGAGAGCTCCACTAAAAAGTCACACCCTTAAAGGGCTCACTCCATCATGCCTCTTTGGTGTGATGATGGAATCATGACCAATTCCTCAGTCTAGAGAGATATCAATTGGGACTTATGTCAAACTACTGAATTATCATTCATCTTCACCTTCATTCATTCAATGGCTTCGTCATGGATTACATTCTTTCGTCCAACAACCAACCAACACTAAGCCCCAGATTAATAAAGAGTTTGATCGGATGTAAAATAAACGTGCTTTTATTTATCTGATCTGTCATCCTGTAGAAGACTGCTAATCCATGTACCTGCTACCTGCATATTTCAGCCGAAATTAATCATCACAATCCATCGACAAACTACGCAACATTACTTGTAGCGTAGTAGCCACGTATGTAGCCCCTCACCCTACGACTGTTTCACGTCGGCCAGATAACACCTCTTCGCCACGTATAGTGGCAAACGAGCAGGTAACTTGTGGCTACCGTGTAGGTACCTGTATTTGGATGCTGTTGTCTAGTTGTATAAACCAGAGGGTAGTAACCTGTACCTCTGTCATACGTTCAGTTACTTACACACCACAAATTGTTGTGTGTCAGCCGGCAAAAGTCAAACTCATTTGACTTTCACCGTCTTTCATAATAGATTTGAACTTTGCCGGTAGGGGTGAACGACGCCGTTTCCGTGGCGTTCCGCGCCGCGCCGCATGTGTGGAGACGGGCCTTTAGCCTCGTATATTTTTAGCTATAAGCTGCGTTCACACGAGGATTTCAGTACCATACTGAGCATTCACACGGTAAAAGTATTCAAGACTTATACGCGGCTTAGCAAGTACCGTACTAAAATACTAGGCTTATTCGGCGCGGAATCACATTCCGCGCTGAAACATTCGGCACCACGCTGGCTGCGTATTGTCTGTCGTGTGAACGCAATTCGAGGCCTCTTACTGTAGTGCGCTTACCTAGACTGGGACCCGTTCGCTACACGACGTTAGTGTAGCGTGTGGAACTGTCGACCGGGTACCAGTCTATATTATTATACCTAGCCAGCTAAGCCTCGATTCTCGTGTGAACGCTGCAGGTTGCGTTAGCACGGTATTTCAGCCGAATTCAGCACCAGATAAGTACGGAACCAGCGAGGCCGTGAATCTCGTGTGAACGCAGCTACTAGTATACTAGTGGTACGGAGGCTCATGGTAACTTGTCATCAACAAGTAATGTCAAATAACAATCAACATATACTTATCTTTGATTCTCTGTCAATTCAATCTATAATCGTATGCGTATCTATACCATACAGTTACTATCAAGGAGTGTCATAATGTAGGGGTACTATGGTCTATATTATAACATTCTTGATACCATTACTGCTATATACAACCCTACACCCCTATTGCCCCTCACCCTTCATTAGGTCCGGGTAAGTGTATAGACTGGTACCCGGTCCCACCTCTCGGCTTAGTTACTCGAGTAATCGAGGTGGGAGCGAGTACCAGTCTAGGTAAGTATATTACGTTGGCACTGAATTTACTGGGGTATTGTATTACAATAATGCGTTAGAGTAAATAATATTGTTTTTATCAATTAGTTTAATTTCAGCGAAGTGGTAGTGAAATAACCGGGATGGGTATTTTTTGGTTTCTCGTTATATGTCGCGCTGTATCTCCACGATGTGGGACTACCACTGACTGGTGACGAATCACCTGCTAGCTACCACTCGATAGGGGAGCCGAGTGTGTGGAGAATTATTATTTTTTTCATGATTTCTTCTATAAGTACTATAAAGTACGAAGTTCAACGAGCAAAGATGGTGTTGGCACGGGAATTCTTGACGCTTATCATCAACAGTGCTTTTTGGCTTATCGTACTTGTTGTGTGCCCGTTTTTTGTGCCCAAGGGGCCAAACAGACAGTAAGTTGATAATTTGTGCACGCGCGCATCCGCAATGTTCATATCCTGTCCTGTGTGTAATAATAATATATATATATATATATATATATAATATATATATATATATATATAACATTAACAGTCAACGTAGCTAAGACAGGTTGGGTTTTCACTGTCAGGGCTGCGTTACCGTATCTGGTAGTGGTAATGTGGTATGTACGTAACATAGCTCTAGTACTATAGCCCGCGTACAGTAACTGCCGCAGGGCTATAGAACATTTTATGCTAGATTTCGCAACTGCAACCTGTTACCACCTGTTCAGTGTTCCCACGAAAAATGGATCGCAAAACGCAAAATGATTGGGCTTTGTTAACACTTATTTGTGCTCAAAGGGTCGTTGTCGTATCAGGGACTACAGATATGTACCCGAGGTACATATATGTATACACAAAGTGTACCAGACTTGTACTTCAGAAGTGTACCCTAACCCTAACCCTAAACATACCTCATATAAAAATATAAACATAATACTAAACAACCTAAAACTACCTCCTAATTATATAAAAATATAAACATAATACTAAACAACCTAAAACTACCTCGGGTACATATCTGTAGTACCTGATACGACAACGACCCCATCTGCCTTGTTTATCTACGTGGACATCTCACCTATCTTTTTGAACACTCCACAACTTTACACTATGTATTTATGCATTTATTCCTCACAAGTCTTATCACTACTTGCAATTCCGTTTGAAATCTTGTTGTGTACACGCGTGACGTCACCCGAAATGTAGGCAAAACACATGGCAGCAGCTATTACATTGATTTCGGGTGATGTCAGGGTGATGTCAGTCACGTCACGCGTGTACACGACAGGATTTCAAACGGAATTGCAAGTAGTGCTAAGACTTGTGAGGAATAAATGCATAAATACATGGTGTAAAGTTGTGGAAAGTGTTCAAAAAGATAGTTGAGATGTCCATGTAGATAAATAAGTGTTAAAAAGCCCGATCATTTTTTGCGATCCATTTTTCGTGAGAGCAGGTGGTAACAGGTTGCAGTTCCGAAATCTAGCATAAAATGTTCTATAGTCCTGCGGCAGTTACTGTACGCGGGCTATAGCACTAGAGCTAACTAGTATGTACACTGCTGCATTTTCGTAGTAAACATCCAGAGTAGTACTACTACTAGTAGTAGTGCTCATAGGGTCTATGTCCCCCAGGGTACTGCCGGAACATACCCTGGATACGGTCAGGTATATATCGGAACGTACCCTGGTAACTATCTGATATGGTTAGGGTTAGGGAGTAGGCGTAGGCGACTCTCTAGACTCGTTATTGGAGTAGGCGAGGTACGGTTCGGCATATTAGATAGTACCAGGGTACGTTCCGGTATACCGGACCGTAACCAGGGTACGTTCCGGCAGTACCCTGGTGGACATAGACCCTCTCAGCAGTAGTAGTGGCTCAACCACAGATCGGGTTGAGGCTGCGAGACGGACAGCATGCAGTGCTCTCTTCTTCTTTCGGCATTGCGTATGTGATGCTAGTATGTTGTGCAGACGTGCGCAATTCTAGTTTGGATATCTTTAATTACTATCCCGGTATATAAAGCTCGCATATGTTCTAACTATATATGTGCTCAACCAAGATTTGGCCGTTGAGAAGTCGTAATAAGGAATTAACACGAGTAAGAAAGTAGTAAAATTGTGTAGTTAATAGTAAATAGTGGCTGCGACTAAGTTCACTCATCAACAACACATAGAGCCAGGGCCACAATTAAACAAATATTTGTTTGCCCTCACCCGACCCAGGCTGAAAAGTTTGGGTAGGTAGGTAGGCTTTTAATTTTTGTTGACAGGGGGTCTTTTTACAAATTCAGCATGGTGTCTACATGCTCGGGGGTGCTTGTGTGGAGATACCTTTTATGTTGAATGTTTGTTTTGCTTGGTACATATAATGTATTGGTACATATAATGTACAGTGATACAATTTAAAAAAAAAAAAATGGGAAAGATCAATAAAAATGTTTGAGTCGGCCCCTTTTTGACGGGTCGGTCGGGTGAGGGCAAACAAACAATATTTTTATCATGGCCCAGTCTACCGAGGACGACGTGTCATGCTATGTAAACAGGATCAAAGATAGTTTGGGACCCCCGCAATATGTTTTCGCATATGTGCTAAACTAATCTTGGGTACTAAACTAGGCTTGGGCCTTATTATCTGATAACTAAGCTATTTATCTGTTCCAGGCTGATCCAGTTAATGTTGGCTATGACTGCAGTGTGCTGCTGGCTTTTGTAAGTAATTATATCATTTTATTGATAAAGATGTTTAATTTTACATACGATGTGCAATCTAATTCAGTAAATTGCTCTTATTACAACGCGTGTAATTTGATGTCACTGTAATAGAATTTCCACAATATTTCTAGTGTCGATGTATTATTTCTTGATAATTAATCGATTATGATAATTTTGCTGGAAGTAATATGTTTAAAAGTGTGAATTAGGATGATATCTTTCATGTTTCATGATAGTGTTTATGATTACATTTTTTTGATAGCGCTGTCACGCACTCTTGACTTTTCCAGCTGGGTTTTGTGTTATTTACATCAGTTGAATCCACTTGTGGGACCACAGCTGCACAACACGACATTGATAGTATTGCAGCATGAATGGAAGTAATTATTGGTATGTGTTGGTATGATCAAATTCATTATTGTAGCTTACATTATCAGTGGTATCATCAGTATATCCAACGAAGTAATGTATATCTTCTGTCCAGTGAAAAAAATACACGGGGGCTCGGCTCCCGAAATGCCAAAAAGAGCCCCGGAAATGCCAAAAAGAGCCCCTGTAAATTTGCATAGAGTTCAATGCAAACCAAATTTTAGAGTGCTATTTTCATGCACGCGAGCTTGAAAAGTAGCCCCCGAAAAATAAATTATATTTTTTTTCCTGCTGTCTGCCATTTAGATTTCTGATCGAAGTTACTGTGTAGTATATAACAGTATTTGACAAGAGTAGTTTTGCATACATGAATGCAATTAAGCGAAACACATGAAGTGGTGAATGGAAAACACTTTATTGATCTTGTTGTATTTATCATTGATGGTGGCAGTGAAAATATCAGTTATAATAGAAGTATAAAGCTGGTATAGTTAGTGAAATCTCTCACCACCATTATTGGGGTCAGTCAAGATTATATATTCAGGTCCGTATAGCTAACTCATTTTGCCTCGAGAGGGGGGCAAAGCCACGTGTGTGGTGTGTTTTGGGAAGGTGACAGCCATTGACCATATACCATTTTTCTGGGAGGAAACTGCTCCCTTGCCTCCCTGATATTATTTGTTGTGTTTGATGTGCAACAAGTTATTTGTGTTGTTAGTTTCTAATTTAGATCAAACTTGAACTCACTGACACATAATAATGTTTTGTAATCATTGTAGCTGGGAAATTGACCCAAATTGGGTGCAAGGAAGCAAGAGGAAGTTGTTCATCATTCCACAAACCATCCTGGCAGACAGACCACATTTTAAACAGAGCTCTACAGCAACATGGATAGAAGACTAAGAGAGGGTTTGCTTATTTGGTGCCTTTGCTCAGACAGTTGAACTACTGGGCGCACTTGCATGTGCACGTCAGACCCTCGATAACTTACTAGAACATGAGGATCATTGGTGGCCTTGGGTGTTCCATTTCAAATTATCATAATAAATATAAGAGCATGAATTCTTACAAGTGTTCATGTTCTCATGTACGTGTTACTGGTGATATTGAATATAGGAGCTGTAATTAACTGTTGCATAGGTATTAGGTTAATTTAATTCGCATTATCTAATGCCACTGCTACTATTGTGATTTTTATACGTGTAACATAGACAAATGAGAAGCAAAATGGTTGTAGGGGCTTGTGAGTGCTGGGTGAAACCCTCGCTGGTTTATGACACAGTTTGGTGTTTTAGCCTCGCAGGTAGCCTGTGAGCACGTGCGATAACAAGACAAAACGTAAGAGACTTAATTGAGGTACCACTGTTGTAATTACTTTAGCAATAGTTTGTGTATGCTAACTTGTAATTGTGAACTGGAGAGTTAGTTCAAACGAAGGCACGTAATTTCTGCAAGTAGTTATTCGGGATGTATCTAGGCCATTACAATATCAATGAGTATATTAAGAGTTGTAGTAAAGAAAGGATATAACTAACAATAGGCTACAAGATCAAGAATAGGTAATTATAGTACATGTTGGTAAAGGGAGGATTGAAGATAGGAATGCTCTTTAGTTGTAACTAGTGGTAATGATGGTATATATAATTATAGATGACAATAACAAGTCGACAACTAGAAAAATACACGGGAGGAAGCAGCATCAGTCTAGTGAGGTATCAGTGTAGCTCGACCTGTGTGGCTCTCTGCCACAGGGCTATGCAGGAAAAGAATGTGGAAAACCAGTGAGTTGTCTTTGCAGCCTTGCTGGCTCTGCTATAGCTCATATTTACCTTAGTGCAAGGTAACCATGTCGGGTTTTGCCAGCCACTCGCAATCGGTTTATCTTAATTTTGCCAAGTTTATGGAATAAAAACGATAATACGAGTAACTTCTAGCAGCCACATTGAAATTGATATAACAGCAGTACTAGCGAGCCAAGATTCTTCACTTTTTGCCTGCATACCTTTCCGTATAGTCCTGTGGCAGAGCGAAGTGCTATGTGGATAGGTCTAGTATCAGTCAAACAATGATAAATATCTTGGGTGGATAGCGGGGTTTGCTTGGTATGGTGAGTTTTCATTTGGGAGTGTATTATCTGCATCCGATTATTGCATCAACATGTATGGTAACTGTCAAATTAATTTTGTCTGATTTGTGTGAATACTGACATTAGTTACTTATTACTGTATATAATATTTGTTGTTGAGAGTAAATAATAATCGTTTATATTGTACACAACCCTGTATCGCATCACCTTGTTTTGCAACAAAACTAGAATAACTAATAAGAATATTGCTTCCTAGTAGGTTCACGCAATTATTTCAACAATTGGATATATTATATTAAACAAACAAGCAAATCATACACACACATGAGGCCTGCACCCACACAAACAGCCTGGGTTTTCATTCTTCAATAATTACAACGTTTGATTCACATAATTCAACGTAGAAAAGTTAACCTCCACACCAGCTCAAACACAGGCACAGAGTAACCTCTACACCAGCTCAAACACAGGCACAGAGTAACCTCTACACCAGCTCAAACACAGGCACGGAGTAACCTCTACACCAGCTCAAACACAGGCACGGAGTAACCTCCACACCAGCTCAAACACAGGCACAGTGTAACCAACACACACCAGCTCAAACACAGGCACGGAGTAAC